AAAGAAAAGATAAAGTTGATGTCTTGAAAAGCCGTCGTGATCCAGACTTTTGGCCCAATTTGTTTCTCAAGTACTTCTTGTACTGAAAAGATTATACCAAGTCCCATTTGAGTTGTTATGTAGCAAACAAATACTCTGGCTTGTCTCCAGATGGCAAAAGGCTCATTTGGGCTGAACATTTTAAATACATCCTTTTCTGGAAATCTTTTTGACAAGGCAATGCAAATTCCACTGCTGATCAGCAGAGGTGTCAAGGCACTCACAAATCTTTCTGCGCCGTCATTGTCTGGAGCAAGGAGGCCAATCCACGTCCATCCAAAATGCAGGAGCAACTTGAGAATGCCCTGGTGCTGAGTTTCTTCTTTGGGGACCATCCGGTAGACAAAAGGGAACTGGATTTTATCTTCAAGAACCTGAGCAATGAAGGCATAACTGACCTATTGAGAAAAGAAAGAGGTAAGTGGGGTGCTTTGCTCTCAGGAACAGATTTTTATTAACCTGAAATGATAAATATCTAACAAGATTTGTGCTGGCTGTGGCTGATTGTAGTCTGAAATGTCCGAGGGGAGGGTGACAGGTTGGTTAAAGCTAAATTTTGAAAAAGGAGCCGTTATAGCTCAGGATTTTCTCATGTTTTATTGCCCCTTCCCAACTGCACTGGGGTTGAAATTCTCCTCTGTCCCTCCATGGAGCCACCATTCCTACCTGTGGGATTTTGTAGATTCTTGACATAGCTGAAATCTCCTTTGAGATGACAGAATTGGCTTGTTCAAGAACAGCCAGAAGGTTATTCCATTTCCTGCAGTTATAGTTTGGGACATTGCTTCCCCCACCTGCAAGAAGGTCTAGCATGGCATCAGAAGTCAACCTTGCATCAAAGTGGTTCTCAAAAATATTGTAGCCCAGGGTGATGTTAGGTAAGAGCTTGAGATCTTGGTTTATCTCCTGGATGGTGAACAAGTAGGACAATATGTGCCAGTAGAACATAGGTGAGACTCTGCAAAAAATATACCAATTAATTAAAAAGAATTAAACTGCTATTCACAATTTATTAACAAATGAACAAAAACATTATCTGATACGCAAATTATTACATGTATATAAATACTGGGAGGTTTATGCTCCATTTCAGGAGTATAGAAGCACTTCATCTTCAAATAAAAAGGTAAAGGGACCCCTGACCATTAGGTCCAGTCATGGCCGACTCTGGGGTTGAGGCGCTCATCTCGCTTTATTGGCTGAGGGAGCCGGTGTACAGCTTCTGGGTCATGTGGCCAGGTCATCTTCAAATAAGTATTAGTAAAAACAATTTCCTCTGAAAAGTTTGTGAAATGGTATCTCTCCTTCCCTTTTCATCCTCACAGCAAACCTGTGAGTGTATACTGTATTTCTCCTTCATCTTGGATAACTTTATGTAAGCTGGACGGTGGAAGAGTGTTAAAAAGATAATTGCCTTCTCACGTTTCACTTTTACGTATGATTTCTTGTTATACCTTTAATACAGTAGCTAATCCAAATACTTTCAAATTTCTTCCATGAAATGCTCATATTATTCCCCTCAAAATTATTCATGTTGTAATCATTTTCCTATTATGCATTCTTTATTTCATTTTGTGCTTTCATTGTGTTTAAAATTTGTTATCTTCACTATTTCTTCAGGGTTTTCTAAACATTTTTTTAAATAAAAAAATTGTTTCTTTTGGGCGTTGGCAGGCTTCAGGGAATTCAATCCCTCCCATGGTGGCAGCCAAGAAGCAATAAACAACAACAACAACAACAAAAACGGATCTTACCAAGTAATTTATTCACTATGCACAGAGAGAGAGAGACGAAGGAATGCAGTCTATCTAGGATAGAAGACATCTGAAGGACCCTTTTAGGAAGCTTTTAATGTTTAATAGGTTATTGTATTTATGTGTTTTGTTGGAAGCCGCCCAGAGTGGCTGGGGAAACCCAGCCAGATGGGTGGGTATAAATAATAATTTTTTAAAAAGCAGCGTGTTTTCCAAGTAAAGTCCCACCCCTTCCGTCTCTCCTATTCTATGTCACCCTTGTGTTGGCTAATCTGAGCTTACTGCCTCGGAGCTTTCTGTTCTACTACCCTTAATGCATGTCTGGTCCGGGGGGGGTGTCATGAATGCTTTCCAAAGACACTGAGTCTGTCAGCTGTCTCTCCCCTGGTGCTGCTTCTTCCTGCTGTTCCTCTTCCAATATTTCCAAGCCTCTCCTCCTGCAGCTTCTGAACTATGCCCTTCCGCAAGCCCCTGTTCTAAATCTATACTCTCTCCTCTTCTCTGGAAGGTTCTGGGGAAGGGTGGGCGGTCCCCACCATTCCTCCTAAGTCCAGCCCCTGACAGGCATTGTTCTTGTTCTTTGATAACTGAGAGCACATTATAAAATAACTAAATGAACTCACTGTCCTTATTCTCTCAAGGAATCTCCTCTCCCTTTGAGTCACCTACCTCTCTGAGTGGAGATCGTCCCTTCTGCACAGGGAGCGCAAGCATAGCAGCAAACCACCTTTCCTTCTTGAACCACCTTGGCATACCAGGGTGGCAGCTTTTGGTGCACTTGGAGCGAGGCACAGTCTAACCATTAAGAAAAGAAGGTACATTAAGGAGAGAGTGTTAGTAGCATTTTTGACAATGGAATTCACTCAGAGAATCTGGTAAGGACACAATAGCATCCCTAGTCCATCTGATTCCACCCATTTATGGGAAGCACTTTGAAACAGCAAAGCAGGACAACACACACACACCCCAAAACATAATAACAGCAATAAGAAACTGTAGCAGTAGCTGGGGAAAAGTGTCTGGGAAACACATTGTTTCTAGTTTCAGGATCTTGCTGTTTTTGCAGCATTCTCGCTTCACAGGTAAGATTCACCTTCCGTTGTGTGGGCAGGGCGGTCCCTCCCCCTACCTGGCTCATCCCCTTGCAACGGCTCCCCAGGCAGGATTGGGCGATTGGCTGAGGTAGGCGGAGACCTCCAGGTATCCAGCCTGGGAGGGTGAAGCCAGCCTGTACTACTGGAGCCATACTGGGATCCAGGGGACTGCGCATGGCCACACAAAAGGCACCCCCCATTTGATGTGGGGAGCGGTCATTCTCACAAGGAAAGTGTTAAGCGCGCTCTCCTAGCCTCCCCCCCTTTGTTATATCCCCTACCTTCTAAATGGCTTGGGCCACTCAATGGTTCCTGGGTTAATGCTAAACTTTATCCAGTCGACACCTCTCTCTCTAGACTCCCAATCTTCACTCTAACGTGAGACTGATTAGGAAACATCACCCAGTTCTCAATATGAATGTCAGTTGGCAGCTCCCCATTCTTATCCAAACACAGTGTGCCCAGAGAAGTATTTAAGCATTGGATTTCTTTCAAGAAAGGGTGAAGCTGAATGACAGGAGAAACAACAGCATTAAGGAAGCATGGAACCATGTTGGCTAACTCAATCTCATTCCCGTTGAGCTCTTAGAATTGGGGCAGTGAACATCTTGTGTAGACTATAAGCCCTCTTGAAGAATTCTATGTTATCGATTAAAACATTTATAGACCGCCTTTCATATAAAACAGCTAGGAGCTGAGCAGAATAAGATCAATACAAAGACAATAAAATATTTTTTTAACCCACGAGGACTACAGTGGAACTCAGTTACATACATTCAGTTACAACGCTTCAGGTTACAGACTCCGCTAACCCAGAAATATACCTCGGGTTAAGAACTTTGCTTCAGGATGAGAACAGAAATCGTGCTCCGGTGCGCGGCAGCTGCAGGAGCCCCATTAGCTAAAGTGGTGCTTCAGGTTAAGAACAGTTTCAGGTTAAGTACGGACCTCCGGAATGAATTAAGTACTTAATTTAGGGCTTATTATCAAAAGCTGTTCAGTTTATTTTTATTTGCCCATCTAGTTTTATTTTTTATTTTGGGGGCCTCAAGGCTAGAAACCAGAGTTAGAGGAGGAGTGATCTCCCATTTCCAACTGAGTGAGTGTTCGATGCCTCATCTTGAAAAGCTTGAAGGTGAAAGCATAGAAACTTATTGGGACATCTTCATTGTTTCTATACAGTTCTGAACTTCTCACTCTGCTCTTGAGCTCCTAAACTGTGGCACCTGAGCGTTGGTTCTGCTGCTGAGCCTGTACCACCATCTGCCAGGATAAAGATCTATTTCGTTCTTACAAGCAAGAGCCTTGGCTTGCAAGCTTTGGAGTGAGAATCATGGTATATGTTGGGAAACTGTGTACGTGCAGCTACTCACACAGAGTCCATTAAGGTTTGGCAGACAGCCAGAAGGCAATCTGAAGGAGTAAGTCTGCCTGGTGATAACAGAGACATGGAGACTGCTCCCTGATTGGTCAAGCTCTCTCAAGGGAGTGATAACCAATGGCCTACTAACTGGTAGTTCAGAGTCCGTGAGTTCAGTGGTTCAGTGTGTGTCAGTGTGGGAGTTGTGAGTCGTGTCAGAGAGAGCTAGCATAAGATCCATGTTCTGTTCCTGTAAATAGTCCACTGTATATAACACCTAACTACAAGTTCCTGGTTCCTGCTTTGTCTATCCTGTCTGCAGCCAAGTTGCCAATTGCTTCCATGGATTCTGCATGTACTCTGCTAGGTCTGGCTAAGGTCCTGCAACTAGTCATAAAGTTGCAAAACACCAAATAGGTTTTGCCAATAGCATAACTGGAAGATGCTATAATGATGACGTAAACATGCCAACAATGCACAATATTATTTAGAAAACAAGACTGTGCAAAACTAGGGTGAGCCAGGTGAACCTGAGCAGTATAAAGACCAAAGTGGTTGGAAGGTCTCTAGTGGGAATCAGGCTCTGATAAAGAAATAATATAAAACATTAAGTCCAGACATTCCTTTCCATCATTCAAGATTTATGCAGAATGAAGAGAGAGAGTCAGAGTTTATGAAGCTTTAATCCAGAAACAGTTATGTATGTTTAATTTCTACAGGGCTGGCCATTGTCAGCATCGATTAATTTAAGAATCAGATACCATTTTTAGTTTTTGTTGTCAGGTGCTCCTTTGTATTCAGAACAGGCCTCAGCACAATAATGTAGCACTTGGGCATGAAGATGCAGCCCAGAAGCCCAGAACTAGAGGCCAAGATAGAGAAGATCTGCACAGCTACCATGTACTTCCCTTTGGTGCTCAGGTAAGTGGGCACAAAGGAGACCCAAACACTACAGAAGACCAGCATGCTGAAGGTGATCAGCTTGGCTTCATTGAAGGCTCCAGGCAGCTTTCTGGCCAGGAAAGCCACCATGAAGCAGATGGTAGACAAGAAGCCCATGTAGCCAAGGGAGCCATAAAACATGAACACAGACCCTTCATTGCACTGCAGGATGATCTCTCCAGCCTGGGAATGTTTGTCAGAGTCTGGAAATGGGGGAGAGATCCCCAGCCAGACGATGCAAATGACCATTTGGACACTGGAACAAGAAATGACAATGGAGTTGGCCAGACTCTTCCCCAGCCATCTCCTTACCCTGTTCCCTGGCTTTGTGGCCAGGAAGGCCAGCACCACCATAATGGTTTTAGCCAAGACAGAAGAGACAGCAACAGAGAAGATGGTGCTGAAGGCCGTTTGTTGAAGGAGGCAGGTGACTTTTGTGGGACAGCCAATGAAGAGGAAGGAGGACAAAAAGGAAAGCAGGAGAGAGATGAGGAGGATGTAGGAGAGGTCCCTGTTGTTGGCTTTGACTATGGGAGTTTCCTTGTATTTAATGAAGATCCCTGCAACAAAGCCGGTGGTTAAGGACAGAAAGAGGGCCAAGGAAGTCAGGAGGATCCCCAAATGTTCTTTATATGATAGGAAAGTAATAATCTTGGCAATGCAGTGATCTCGGTCCTTGTTTGGATATTGGTCTTCTGGACATTTGGTGCAATGTTCTGCATCTGAGGAGGAGAAAAAGAGTGGCTTCAGCACTACTTAATTCCATCAGCCACGTTTGTTCTATTGTGTTTTGGAGAAAGATACCAATATGAAAGAGGTCAAGAAAATAGGAATGTGGAGTAGGGAAAGAGAGGCAAACAATTTTTCATTTGCTTATTTGATGTTTACACTTGCACCCTGTCTTTCCTGCAAGGAGATGGAGGTGGCACACATGGGTTTCCCCCCACTTTTTATTGCCAAGACAATCTTGTAAGTTAAAGCTGAAGGGCAACAACCTCCCCACAGAAGCATTTCTGGCATCTTCATCTTGCGTTATACAGTTTTGGCTGATGCTGAAGATGCCTCTCTTCAACTTGACCTTTGACAGTTTGTTTTTATTTGATTATTTATTTCCTCCATTTCACTCCCGCCTTTCTGCCAAGGAGCTGGAGATGGCATGCATGGTTCTCTCCTTCCCTTTTCATCCTCACAGCAAACCTGTGAGGTGTATACTGTATTTCTCCTTCATCTTGGATAACTTTTATGTAAGCTGGACTGGTGGAAGAGTGTTAAAAAGATAATTGCCTTCTCACGTTTCACTTTTTACGTATGATTTCTTGTTATACCTTTAATACAGTAGCTAATCCAAATACTTTCAAATTTCTTCCATGAAATGCTCATATTATTCCCCTCAAAATTATTCATGTTGTAATCATTTTCCTATTATGCATTCTTTATTTCATTTTGTGCTTTCATTGTGTTTAAAATTTGTTATTCTTCACTATTTCTTCAGGGTTTTCTAAACATTTTTTTAAATAAAAAAATTGTTTCTTTTGGGCGTTGGCAGGCTTCAGGGAATTCAATCCCTCCCATGGTGGCAGCCAAGAAGCAGATAAACAACAACAACAACAACAAAAACGGATCTTACCAAGTAATTTATTCACTATGCACAGAGAGAGAGAGACGAAGGAATGCAGTCTATCTAGGATAGAAGACATCTGAAGGGACCCTGTTTAGGGAAGCTTTTAATGTTTAATAGGTTATTGTATTTTAGTGTTTTGTTGGAAGCCGCCCAGAGTGGCTGGGGAAACCCAGCCAGATGGGTGGGGTATAAATAATAATTTTTTAAAAAGCAGCGGTGTTTTCCAAGTAAAGTCCCACCCCTTCCGTCTCTCCTATTCTATGTCACCCTTGTGTTGGCTAATCTGAGCTTACTGCCTCGGAGCTTTCTGTTCTACTACCCTTAATGCATGTCTGGTCCGGGGGGGGGGTGTCATGAATGCTTTCCAAAGACACTGAGTCTGTCAGCTGTCTCTCCCCTGGTGCTGCTTCTTCCTGCTGTTCCTCTTCCAATATTTCCAAGCCTCTCCTCTCTGCAGCTTCTGAACTATGCCCTTCCGCAAGCCCCTGTTCTAAATCTATACTCTCTCCTCTTCTCTGGAAGGTTCTGGGGAAGGGGGGTGGGCGGTCCCCACCATTCCTCCTAAGTCCAGCCCCTGACAGGCATTGTTCTTGTTCTTTGATAACTGAGAGCACATTATAAAATAACTAAATGAACTCACTGTCCTTATTCTCTCAAGGAATCTCCTCTCCCTTTGAGTCACCTACCTCTCTGAGTGGAGATCGTCCCTTCTGCACAGGGAGCGCAAGCATAGCAGCAAACCACCTTTCCTTCTTGAACCACCTTGGCATACCCAGGGTGGCAGCTTTTGGTGCACTTGGAGCGAGGCACAGTCTAACCATTAAGAAAAGAAGGTACATTAAGGAAAGAGTGTTAGTAGCATTTTTGACAATGGAATTCACTCAGAGAATCTGGTAAGGACGCAATAGCATCCCTAGTCCAGCTGATTCCACCCACTATTTTATGGGAAGCACTTTGAAACAGCAAAGCAGGAACACACACACACACCCCAAAACATAATAACAGCAATAAGAAAACTGTAGCAGTAGCTGGGGGAAAGTGTCTGGGAAACACATTGTTTCTAGTTTCAGGATCTTGCTGTTTTGCAGCATTCTCGCTTCACAGGTAAGATTCACCTTCCGTTGTGTGGGCAGGGCGGTCCCTCCCCCTACCTGGCTCATCCCCTGGCAACGGCTCCCCAGGCAGGATTGGGCGATTGGCTGAGGTAGGCGGAGACCTCCAGGTATCCAGCCTGGGGAGGGTGAAGCCAGCCTGTACTACTGGGAGCCATACTGGGATCCAGGGGACTGCGCATGGCCACACAAAAGGCACCCCCCATTTGATGTGGGGAGCGGTCATTCTCACAAGGACAAGTGTTAAGCGCGCTCTCCTAGCCCTCCCCCCTTTGTTATATCCCCTACCTTCTTAAATGGCTTGGGCCACTCAATGGTTCCTGGGTTAATGCTAAACTTTATGCCAGTCGACACCTCTCTCTCTAGACTCCCAATCTTCACTCTAACGTGAGACTGATTAGGAAACATCACCCAGTTCTCAATATGAATGTCAGTTGGCAGCTCCCCATTCTTATCCAAACACAGTGTGCCCAGAGAAGTATTTAAGCATTGGATTTCTTTCAAGAAAGGGTGAAGCTGGAATGACAGGAGAAACAACAGCATTAAGGAAGCATGGAACCATGTTGGCTAACTCAATCTCATTCCCGTTGAGCTCTTATGAATTGTGGGCAGTGAACATCTTGTGTAGACTATAAGCCCTCTTGAAGAATTCTATGTTATCGATTAAAACATTTATAGACCGCCTTTCATATAAAACAGCTAGGAGCTGAGCAGAATAAGATCAATACAAAGACAATAAAATATTTTTTTAACCCACGAGGACTACAGTGGGAACTCAGGTTACATACATTTCAGGTTACATACGCTTCAGGTTACAGACTCCGCTAACCCAGAAATATTACCTCGGGTTAAGAACTTTGCTTCAGGATGAGAACAGAAATCGTGCTCCGGTGGCGCGGCAGCTGCAGGAGGCCCCATTAGCTAAAGTGGTGCTTCAGGTTAAGAACAGTTTCAGGTTAAGTACGGACCTCCGGAATGAATTAAGTACTTAACCTGAGGTACGACTGTATAGCTATCCAAAGTTTAACCAAGGTAGTCCTAAAAATCAGTGCTCAGGAATAATCAATGCCCTTAGAATAATAGAATCTTGGAGTTGGAAGGGATCCACGCTATCTCTAGTGAAGATTATTCTACAATTCTGAGGGCCAATCCAGTTAAGCCCTTGACGTGGCTATCCATAGTGAACACCAGCGTGTGTTTGGGACATGCCACTTTGCCAAGCCTCTTGAGTGCATTCTGTGGTGCCCAGCACACTTCCTTAGTGCCAGTAAAACAGCAGAGCAACACTCAACATCAAAGCGATTCAGGAGCTCTGACCCAGACAATGAAGGCAATAACTCACAGAGGCAATTAAGTACAGACAGTGTTACTGTCAGGTTGTAAAAGCTTAACTGTTTCCATTGGTACCTTGGTTCTTAAACTTACCGGTAATCCATTCTGGGAGTCCATTCGACTCCCAAAACCGTTCAAAAACCAAGGCGCGGCTTCCGATTGGCTGCAGGAGCTTCCTGCCCTCAAGCGGAAGCCGTGTTGAACATTCGGCTTCTGAAAAACATTCGCAAAGCGGAACACTCACTTCCAGGTTTGTGGAGTTTGGGAGCTGATTTGTTCAGGAGCCAAGCCGTTCACGTACCAAGGTACCACTGTACATAATTCATCTGCCAAAGTTCCAGTAAACAGTTAGTTCTGGAAGGAATAAACACTTACATTCACCGCAACATGTCTTGCTACTAAATTGGATTCTACAGCTGGGTCGATGGATTGCAAGGAAAGATAATACCTGCCATGATTGCAGCCTCAGAAATTCCTCTTCCTTTTTTCCACCTGCCATCATCATCATCCACCTTGATCTAGATGAATACGCAGCATTTAAGGCATGCGCCACAGCTTGGACATTGAAGTAAGTGCCGTAGCTGTCTTGAGACAGGACTCTTTCCAGCTCTTCTCTGGGCAAAGGCTCCAGTTTCTCCTCTTCTCTGCATCTTGTCCGACCTTTCATAGACAACACATGCTTTGAATAGGAACAATGAAAAGCTTCCTCCCAAAACTGGCTAAGGAAATGGGACCTTGGTTCATAGTAGATATGTTTGGTGCTCTTTATTTTGGTCTTCATTACAAAGGACAAAGAGCCATGGATGTACTTGAAGAAAAAAGGATGTAAAGAAAAGATAAAGTTGATGTCTTGAAAAGCCGTCGTGATCCAGACTTTTGGCCCAATTTGTTTCTCAAGTACTTCTTGTACTGAAAAGATTATACCAAGTCCCATTTGAGTTGTTATGTAGCAAACAAATACTCTGGCTTGTCTCCAGATGGCAAAAGGCTCATTTGGGCTGAACATTTTAAATACATCCTTTTCTGGAAATCTTTTTGACAAGGCAATGCAAATTCCACTGCTGATCAGCAGAGGTGTCAAGGCACTCACAAATCTTTCTGCGCCGTCATTGTCTGGAGCAAGGAGGCCAATCCACGTCCATCCAAAATGCAGGAGCAACTTGAGAATGCCCTGGTGCTGAGTTTCTTCTTTGGGGACCATCCGGTAGACAAAAGGGAACTGGATTTTATCTTCAAGAACCTGAGCAATGAAGGCATAACTGACCTATTGAGAAAAGAAAGAGGTAAGTGGGGTGCTTTGCTCTCAGGAACAGATTTTTATTAACCTGAAATGATAAATATCTAACAAGATTTGTGCTGGCTGTGGCTGATTGTAGTCTGAAATGTCCGAGGGGAGGGTGACAGGTTGGTTAAAGCTAAATTTTGAAAAAGGAGCCGTTATAGCTCAGGATTTTCTCATGTTTTATTGCCCCTTCCCAACTGCACTGGGGTTGAAATTCTCCTCTGTCCCTCCATGGAGCCACCATTCCTACCTGTGGGATTTTGTAGATTCTTGACATAGCTGAAATCTCCTTTGAGATGACAGAATTGGCTTGTTCAAGAACAGCCAGAAGGTTATTCCATTTCCTGCAGTTATAGTTTGGGACATTGCTTCCCCCACCTGCAAGAAGGTCTAGCATGGCATCAGAAGTCAACCTTGCATCAAAGTGGTTCTCAAAAATATTGTAGCCCAGGGTGATGTTAGGTAAGAGCTTGAGATCTTGGTTTATCTCCTGGATGGTGAACAAGTAGGACAATATGTGCCAGTAGAACATAGGTGAGACTCTGCAAAAAATATACCAATTAATTAAAAAGAATTAAACTGCTATTCACAATTTATTAACAAATGAACAAAAACATTATCTGATACGCAAATTATTACATGTATATAAATACTGGGAGGTTTATGCTCCATTTCAGGAGTATAGAAGCACTTCATCTTCAAATAAAAAGGTAAAGGGACCCCTGACCATTAGGTCCAGTCATGGCCGACTCTGGGGTTGAGGCGCTCATCTCGCTTTATTGGCTGAGGGAGCCGGTGTACAGCTTCTGGGTCATGTGGCCAGGTCATCTTCAAATAAGTATTAGTAAAAACAATTTCCTCTGAAAAGTTTGTGAAATGCTGGGAAATTGCAGGAAAGGCTGCATTTCCTTCAGTGGTTATTGCAGCTTCCGAAGGGTTGCTTCAAAGGAAAGTGTGTGTAAATTGTTCAACTATTTTTCAAAAGGCAATACAGGGTTCAAGGTGGCAGAGTCTTTCTCCCAGACTGACCACTGGCGTCATGATCACTTACGAAAAAATCCTGGTGGGTTGAAGGTTTGTGAGAGAGAAAGAGAGAGAGTTGAATATTTTGGAGACCTTAATCCCCTAATCAGGAAGTCCTCTGACCTGTTTTATTTTATTTAAATCACCCGGAGCAATTTAGCATTTCTTTTTAAAGACAGTCTCTAGCCTCAGGCTTATAATTCAAGAAGACAATGCACAAAAGGGAAGTGGATTGGGCTGCAGGAGGAAAACTTTAATATACCTAAGAGAAATTTCAACATGAGCTGCTGTTGGTTTAGTGCTGCATTCCTTAGAGATGATTTTAATTAAGCTGTATATAAATCGTGCAAATAAAAATAAAATCACAGCATCTTGGAAACCACCTGGATCTCACGACATCCTCACCTCCCTCCTACACGTGAAATAATTTAATGCCACGTTAGGATATCTGGTTAGGTTCATTTCCATTCTAGTGTGTTGCTATAGGCTCCAAACCCCTGTAACTGGGGCTATTGCCCTTAGGAGCTATTGGGGTGGAGGTGGACAAACATGACAACCACCTGCATTTAATTACTTACCTCTCAATCTTGGTGGAGGGGGTCTGGGAAAAAACATATGGAAGTTGCTCAAGAATATATTTTGAAGGTATGATCCCACTAATAAGGAAGTTTCCAGGCCGGTAGTAACTGCGTGCTTTATTCTGATCCCTGATCAGATTCAAGGGGCATTTGGCCTTCAGGTTCCCATAGACTCCATGGGGCATCATTAGCAGCAGAAGCAGCAACAGAAGCAGCAGGGATCTCATTCTGCCTCTGCCTTCTACATCTCTTGTCAGTAGCTCCTCTCACCTCCAGAGCCAGCACAGCAGAAGTCAAAAGCTCTTGCAAGACCCAAGCTGCAGTGGCTCTCCCAGTCTGGGTGGGGTTCAGCTAAGGCAGAATTAAATGTCATTCAGGCATCTCCTGCTCCCGTCCCATCCTTTACCTGCTCTGAACCTCAGCTCCGTCTGACTCCAACACAGGAAATATTATCTGCACCAAACTGTTTTTCAGGCAGAGTACAATGAATAACATCTTGCTCTTGTTGATTCTGATGCTTAGGTCATCTCCAAAAATATCTCTTGAGCTTTCTGGAGAATAAATCACTATGATTTTGATAATTATACGTGGTAGAAGATTAGTCTCTGCAACTTCCTGGAGTCTTTGCATGGCTCATACATGTTTGCTGTGTGCATTTTCAAAGTTTGACAGGAGTCAAGGGGTGGGGAGTTGGGCCTGAACTTTGCCCACAAGAACCTAAGGAGAGCCCTGCAAGTGGATTAGACCATCTATTTAAGCATCCAGTGGGTGGCGCTGTGGGTTAAACCACAGAGCATAGGACGTGCCGATCAGAAGGTCGGCGGTTCGAATCCCCATGATGGAGTGAGCTCCCGTTGCTCGGTCACAGCTCCTGCCCACCTAGCAGTTCAAAAGCACGTCAAAGTGCAAGTAGATAAATAGGTACCGCTTCAGGCGGGAAGGTGAGCAGTGTTTTTGTGCGCTGCTCTGGTTCGCCAGAAGCAGCTTAGTCATGCTGGCCACATGACCCGGAAGCTGTACACCGGCTCCCTCAGCCAATAAAGCGAGATGAGCACTGCAACCCCAGAGTCGGCCACAACTGGACCTAATGGTCGGGGGTCCCTTTACCTTTACCTTTATCTCCCATTGGTGTATCAGACACTTCTGGGAAGGTCACAGGCAGGGCAGAACTTGTAAACAAGTTGTTTATTTCATGGAAACAACTTAGAGGTGTTTTTTTAATGGTCTATACAATTTATTTTATTTAATGGAAGAACTTAAAACCACTGAGGAATTATTATTTTTTAAGCATTTAGTTCAAAGGGGGAATATGATACATACATGAAGGTAAAGGGACCCCTGACCATTAGGTCCAGTCGTGGCCGACTCTGGGGTTGTGGCGCTCATCACGCTTTACTGGCCGAGGGAGCTGGCGTACATCTTCTGGGTCATGTGGCCAGCATGACTAAGCCACTTCTGGAAATGCCGTTTACCTTCCCGCCGGAGTGGTACCTATTTATCTACTTGCACTCTGACGTGCTTTCGAACTGCTAGGTTGGCAGGAGCTGAGACCGAGCAACGGAAGCTCACCTCGTTGTGGGGATTTGAACCGCCAACCTTCTGATTGAAAAGTCCTAGGCTCTGTGGTTTAACCCACAGCACCACCCGCATCCACATACTTACATACATCCTAGCAAAAAAAGGGTGTCATTCGTATTGGCACATAATCAAACTGAGATGTCTGACTGCAGACAGTTTCTTCCACTGATCACAAAGATTCTAAACTGGTTCTAGACTGGTGAGGGGTTTGCCAGCTATTAGGACCATACAGGAAGACACCAGAAATAGGTGATAAAAGGAGATTTTATTTCGGGAATCTGAATCCCTAATACAGACAAGAAATCTGAAGGTAAGAGCAACAGAGAGCAATATAAACTGACACATGCAAAACAGCAAATACATTTCCAGAGAGGCCGATTCTGTCCAGATGTAGCTATTTCTGAGGAGGAGACAACCTCTTGGCATAAAAACACCAGCTTCTATACTTTCCATTTGCTTTTGCCAAGCATAGTTTCTGATGTCAAATTGTTCACGTTCCCTTTGGTTAGCATAAATACCAGGACATGTCTAAGAGCCAGTGTGGTGTAGTGGTTAAGCGTGGTAGACTCGTAATCTGGGGAACCGGGTTCGCGTCTCCACTCCTCCACATGCAGCTGCTGGGTGACCTTGGGCCAGTCACTCTTCTCTGAAGTCTCTCAGCCCCACTCACCTCACAGAGTGTTTGTTGTGGGGGAGGATGGGAAAGGAGAATGTTGGCCGCTTTGAGACTCCTTTGGGTAGTGAGAAAGCAGGATATCAAATCCAAACTCTTCTTCTTCTTCTACATTTAGTGCTATTTTTCTAGAAAGATTAGTGCTGGAACTCAGCCTTCTTTCTCCTATAATGGCAATGGTGCCCACCTGAGAGGTGCTGCAACTGAGTTCCTGTGAGTTCCAGCTGACAAAAAGCCCTGTCTATACGAGGTCATCACATGCATCCAACTGTTCCCATTTCTTCCAGTCTGATTCTGACAACTTTACTTCTCCAAAGACCACCCATCTCCTTCCTGACTACCAAAACTCAATGACCCAAACCAAAACTTCAATGTCCTTCCATGTACTAACTTTCTTGTAGCGCTTTTGTCCCTCATCAAGACTCATTAGTGGAAAATATTTCTCTTCTACAAACTCTTCATAACTGTGTAGATTCTCATGGGACTTTTTAACTATTTTCTTGATTCTATTACATCCTTGACAACAACAATCCTTAATCCCAACAACAAGCTGTGGTTCCAGTCGAGATTCCGGTGTGAACTTCAAATGCTACAATTCTACGATACCCTTAGAGCTAAGAATCAAATATCATGCTCAGTTTTTTCTTGTCAGATGCTCTCTCATGTTCAGATCTGGCCTCAGTATAATAATGTAGCACTTGGGAATGAAGATGCAGCCCAGAAGCCCAGCACTAGAGGCCAAAATAGAGAAGATCTGCACGGCTACCATGAATTTCCCCTTTGTGCTCAGGTAGGTGGGCACAAATGAGACCCAAACGCTGCAGAAGACCAGCATGCTGAAGGTGATCAGCTTGGCTTCATTGAAATTTCCAGGCAGCTTCCTGGCCAGGAAAGCCACCATGAAGCAGATGGCAGCCAGGAAGCCCATGTAGCTGAGGGAGCCACAAAACATGAACATAGACCCTTCATTGCATTGCAGGATGATCTCTCCAAGCTGGGAATGCATGTCAGAATCTGGGAATGGAGGAGAGGCCCCCAGCCAGATGGTGCAGATGAGAACTTGGACACTGGAACAGGAAATGACAATGGAGTTGGCCAGACTCTTCCCTAGCCATCTCCTTACCCTGTTCCCTGGCTTTGTGGCCAGGAAGGCCAGCACCACAGTGATGGTTTTTGCCAACACAGAAGAGATGGCAACTGAGAAGATGATGCTGAAAGCTGTTTGACGAAGAAGGCAAGTGGATTTTCTTGGCCTTCCAATGAAGAGGAAGGAGGACAAAAAGGAAAGCAGGAGAGAGATGAGGAGGATGTAGGAGAGGTCCCTGTTGTTGGCTTTGACTATGGGAGTTTCTTTGTATTTAATGAAGATTCCTAACACAAAGCCTGTGGTTAAGGATAAGAAGAGAGAAAGGAAAGCTAGGAGGCTCCCCAAATATTCCTCATAGGACAGGAAGGTGATCTCTTTGGGGACACATTGATCTCGGTCCTCACTTGGATGCTGATCTTCTGGACAATTGTGCATTCATCAGCATCTGCATAGGGAAAAGACCTTCAGTATCCACTACAAAGAGAATCAGGGAGGGCAACCAACCTGCAATGGGTCTTCATTTAAGCTGAGGTTTCAATGCCAAAGCCTTATGAGAGAAATGGTTAAGGGTAAGCTGAGGCATGTAATGTCAGCCTGTGGAGGAAGAAGATTGTTTTGTAGCAAAGGGATAGAGGAATAGCCAGTTGCATCAAACTAGATGATAGATATGCCTCGATCCACATAGAGAGGGAGAAAGGTTGTTTTCTCTCTGAGAAGCGGACACGGAGCAATGGATCCAAATACAAGAAGAAGATTCCACTATCATTGAGGAACTTCCTGACATAAGAGCTGTTCGACAGTGGAATTTGCTGCCAGTGGAGTGTGTGGAGTCTCCTTTTGGAGTCTTTAAGCAGAGGCTTACAACCATATGTGGAGTCTGATAGTAGTTTCCTGCTTGCAGGGATGGACTCGAATGGACCTTGTGTCTACTACCAACTCTATGAATTCTATGATTCTATGTCTACATATTAAATACAGGTTAATTCTACATGCTGGACCACATGGGCAAATAAAATTTCCTGGTGCTGGGGGTGGGAACAGGGGAGCCCTCCCCGAAGAGGGTATTTCATTCATGAGGTGCCATTACTAACATCATGTTTGGAGTGACTCAGAAATTAGCCCCATCCTCCTATCCAAGGTCCTTACCCCTACCTTCCTGAGTGGAGATGGTTCCTTCTGAGCAGGGAGCACAATCATAACAGCACGGCGGCTTCCCTTCCTGAACCTTTTTGGCAAATCCTGGGAGACAGCTTTCTGTGCATCTTGAACGAGGAACTATCTAGACATAAAGAGATTGAATGCCAAGGAGAAAGTGTCAGTAGCAATTGTGTTTTTGGATTAAAGTTTATACCTGTTTACTCAAGAGCAGATCCCATTAATCTCATTGGGGCTTAGCTGCAGAGAAGTGAGCACAAGATTGCAGTCCAAGCATCATATGTATTATTTAAAATGTTGTTAGAGCGTGGCAGATGCCATAGTTAATAAAATGACAGATATAATTTCCCCTACCTTCTTAAATAGATTGGGCCATACAATTGCTTCCGGATTAATGGTGAACTTCATATTTGAGGACCCCTGTCTCTCTATTCTCCCAATCTTCACTCTAGCAAGAGAACTGTTGGGAAACAGCACCAGATTCATGATATCGAAGTCAGCGGCCACTGCCCCATCCTCATCCAAGTACTGTCCATCAGCTGAAGTATTAGTATAGAAGCGGACTTCTTTCAAGAAAGGATGAAGCTGGAATGACAGAGGAAACTCCACCATTGAGAGAACATAAAACCACAACTGGGACTCTGGATGGATTTCTGCCAGCAGGTGAAAACAATGTGATTGGATTAATTTTA